TAGTAAATGGTCGTGGTTGTGATAGGGGAAAGACAACAGGAGTAGTGGTAGTAGTTGCCATGGGACGTGGGCGGGAGGATGGGTGGGGTGGGTGGTGGGCGTGAAGGAGAACACCTACATGGTCTGGCTGGCCATAAAGGGATGTAAAATGACACAGACAGCGACACCCGCGCCACACTACATCCACACCCTACTTCACACCACCTCCACACCCACTCCATACCCCCTCCACACCACACTCCACACCCCACTCCACACCACACTCCACACCCCCTCCATACCCCACTCCACACCCCCTCCATACCCCACTCCACACAATATCCACACTTACCACCCTCATTTTTCTTGTTATTGTTGAAGGGATGGTGTCGGTCGTTGGTGTGTGTGGGAGGAGGAGGAGGAGGGTCGACCTGTCCTCTGTCACGTGACCAGCGGGACACAAGGGGGGAGGTGGTGATGAAGATTTTTAATTTTTTTGTATTTAAGAGTTAATGTTTATATGGGTCCCAGTCCTAACCTAACCTTATTTGACCTAACCTAACTTAATCTTTACCTAACTTAACCTAATCTAACCAAACTTAAGGACCCATTTGACTTTCAACCATCATTTATATTGTAAATTCGGTTAATTATGTCACTCAGTTGTCACCGTGGTTGGCTGACACAACATAACAAGCATTATATCACTCGTTACTTAGACTTGTCACGTGGGAATGACACTGATAGGTGATGTTGTCTGTCATGTCACAACCACAGAGGACATAAGAGTCATGCATGAACCTGTGGAGTGCTGGAGGAGGATAAGCAAGCCGGGGAACATTACGCGCCAGGTGAATTAATTAACGGGAATGTCAGGTGAGATGACAAGTTTAATAAAGGAATTTGATCACTTGAATATTTGGCACCTCAGCTTATTTTACCTGATGATTAAACACTAATTCTACCTGTGGGGGTTATGTTACGTTATGTTATGTTACGTTATGTTATGTTAAGTTATTTTATGTTATGTTACGTTATGTTATGTTATGTTATGTTACGTTATTTTATGTTATGTTACGTTATGTTACGTTATGTTATGTTACGTTATTTTATGTTATGTTACGTTATGTTACGTTATGTTATGTTACGTTATTTTATGTTATGTTACGTTATGTTACGTTATGTTACGTTATGTTATGTTACGTTATTTTATGTTATGTTATGTTATGTTACGTTATGTTACGTTATGTTACGTTATGTTACGTTATTTTATGTTATGTTACGTTATGTTATGTTACGTTATGTTAGTGATTAGAATTAGAGCTTATTAAGACTGAACCCCAATCCTAATGGTTGGGTTAGGTTAGTTTGGGACTGACGAAAGCTGGCACCCATTAGATCTAGAGCCCATTAGGACTAGGGTACACCAGATCTAGTACCCATTAGGATTAGGGTCTAATATAACAGGGAACCATTATATCTAGAACTCACTATAACTGATGACTAATACAATTGGAACCCATTATAACTGGAACCCATTATAACCGGAACCCATTATAACTGGAACCCATTATAACTGGAACCCATTATAACTGGAACCCATTATAACTGGAACCCTTTATAACTGGAACCCATTATAACTGGAACCCATTATAACTGGAACTCGCTATAACTGGAACCCATTATAACTGGAACCCATTATAACTGGAACCCTTTATAACTGGAACCCATTATAACTGGAACCCATTATAACTGGAACACCCTTTCACCAGTCACCGTATGTGTCTGTTTATCGCTGACTGTCTTTCTCCCGGCCAGCCATACCTGTATATATTTACCTGTGGCTGGTTTTTACCTGTAATTATGTGTCTTGTTTGCTTGGCAGGTACTTGTGTGTGTCTTTCTTACTCGTGGCTGTGTTTGCGTAAGACTGTGTTTACTTTCGTGTGTGTGTGTGTGTGTGTGTGTTATATGTACGTGTGGCTGTATGTTCATTTGACTGTTTGTACTTGTGAATGTAAACTGATTAACTAACTGACTGACCGACTGAAAGAAGATTTGGGCCTACTCACAACCTTGATCTCATCACAACCTTGGCCCCATCACAACCTTGACCTCATCACAACCTTGACCTCATCACAACCTTGATCTCACCACAACCTTGACCTCATCACAACAACCCTGGCCTCATCACAACCTTGGCCTCATCACAACCAATCCCTCACTTTATCATTCCTCCCTTTCATGTCTAATGGTCGAGTTTCAAAGTTAACATGTGAATGAAATACAGTCAATTCTCCTCCAGTCACTCCCAGTCTTAACACAGTCAACTTCATCATAGATTTCATACAGTTAAATTTCATCAACATTCACCTACGTTACTTTTTGTTGATGGATTTATATATATTGATGTTTTTTTTTAATCAATCTATTAATTATATTCACCTGAAGACAAAAATAAACATATATTTTTCATGTTAGTATTTTGTTGTGTTTAAACCTCATTATTAATTAAGTTCCTTGTCTCAGGTGTGTCTTACGAAATATCCCATCATTAATGACTTTTTTATAACTATACAAACATACAACTCCTTAAATACAAGATACATCCACGACTTATTGTATATACGTATATCATAGACTAACTTATCCACGGTGCACTGATTCCCTTTTATACCTGACTCACTTATCCACGGTGCACTGATTCTCTTATACACCTGAGTCACTTATCCACGGTGCACTGACTCTCTTATACACCTGACTCACTTATCCACGGTGCACTGACTCTCTTATACACCTGACTCACTTATCCACGGTGCACTGATTCTCTTATATACCTGACTCACTTATCCACGGTGCACTGATTCCCTTTTATACCTGACTCACTTATCCACGGTGCACTGATTCTCTTATACACCTGAGTCACTTATCCACGGTGCACTGACTCTCTTATACACCTGACTCACTTATCCACGGTGCACTGACTCTCTTATACACCTGACTCACTTATCCACGGTGCACTGATTCTCTTATATACCTGACTCACTTATCCACGGTGCACTGATTCTCTTATACACCTGACTCACTTATCCACGGTGCACTGATTCTCTTATACACCTGACTCACTTATCCACGGTGCACTGATTCCCTTTTATACCTGACTCACTTATCCACGGTGCACTGACTCTCTTATATATACCTGCCTGTTATTATCGTCCTTCAGAGATGACAATCAGGTGTACCTCTCTATACTATAATCCATCACACAGGTAAACAGTCGGTGTTGTGGGTAAACGTAGCCTGAATATAAGGGAGTTTATAAGTTATATCACCCTATAAATGGTACCTGTCAGCTCTATACCTCCGCTCCGTCTATATCACAGGAAGTAAGAACACGGTTGTCGTCTCTCCATAGTTACCTGTACCATTTCATTCTGTCAGTGTAAGTCACCTTTCATCCTGTTCCTATAACTCACCTGTGACTTTCAATCATCCAATTACCTGGGCTAATTAATGGGTATTTTTTCCCCCTGCAATTTTTCTTCAGTGTGTAAATAGTACAGTAGTTTGTGTGTCTGTGATGTGTCTTTGTGTGTCTGTGATGTGTCTTTGAGTAATAATAAGTTATCTCTTCCTGTTTCTACTCTAATATTTCAAGGTAAATTGCTCACTGCCTCAGTTCGGTGTACCGTTAAAAGCTCTTGTTTGGTTTCCGCCATAGGAGCTTCAATCTGGTGGAGTTATTTTCACCGTTAACATTAAAATAACATAAACATTAATATAGTTATTCCTTTTAGTTACGTTTACTTAACCCAACAATTAGCTCAAGATGTCAGGTAAACACCTCTGTCTCAAGGTGTCTAGATTACCTGTTTTTAGTCTGAATATCTCGTTTCTACTCCTACAGGTATGGCATGGCCTTCGACGCCGCGCGCAGGAAGAACGCCACCCGGGAGACGACGGCGACGTTGAAGGCGTGGCTGAACGAGCACAAGAAGAACCCTTACCCCACCAAGGGAGAGAAGATCATGCTGGCCATCATCACCAAGATGACCCTCACACAGGTACGACTTCCTCCTCCTGCAGGTGGTGATTAGTGATGGTGATTGCTATTGGTGGTGATTAGTGTTGGTGATGACTAATGATGGAACTAGTGCCTAATGTTGGTGATGGTGGTGCTCTCTCTCTCTCTCTCTCTCTCTCTCTCTCTCTCTCTCTCTCTCTCTCTCTCTAAGGGCTGTTTTTTACCAATTCTCTAAGGTTTCGTGTCTGGGGACTTAAATCTCTTCCCTGTCCCTGGTCATCCTACCCCCAACTCTACCCATTAACATCTCTGTTATTATCCCCATCATCAATAATTATATAACCAAATTATCAAATTTTTCTGTACATTTCAATTATTATCTTGACGTTTTTTTTTACTAATTTCAGTATTACTTATTTTTTTTATATAGTTTATCATCATTCACACTTCAAACCCAACTTTCGTTATTCACTTGTATTTTTATCTCCTTTTATACATTATTTTTTAGGGGTATTAATGGTTCTTTAACATCTATCTAAAGTTTTATGATAGTTGTTTATGAGACTAGACACTGGTATGAGTCGTCTTGTGATGTTCTGTAATTTCTGTTGTTTTCTTGGTGGGGTCGTGGAGAAGGTGACTAGTTAAGGCTCTTCAGGGTCTATAGTTTGGTCGATGTCTTGTAGGGTGTGAGAACGCTAGAGGCCCTGGTTTATGTATATATTGGTGGAGGTTATGTATATTGTATGTATTTATTTATGTATGATATCTAAGTATATGTATATTTTGGGTAGTTTTTTATTATATTGGTTCCTATGGTATATAACCTATCTCTCTATATCTTTCTCTATCTTTCTCTCTTCGTCACAGGTGTCGACGTGGTTCGCCAATGCACGTCGGCGGCTGAAGAAGGAGAACAAGATGACGTGGGAGCCGCGTAACAAGACTGACGATGATGATGACGACGACGATGACAAGGACGATGATCATAACGATGGTGAGAAAAGAAAAGGTAAAGGGTTAACTCTGGCCCACCTTACCTGCATGGTTTTGTTACCTCAAGGAAAAAGTATAGAAAACTAATTAAGGGTCACCTGAAGATTAGACACCCCAGCTTATTTCACCAGAAGATTAATCATCCTAATGGCTAACCTAACCTAACCTAACCTAACCTAACCTAACCTAACCTAACCTAACCTGAACGCTAACATAACCTAACCTAACCTAATCTTCGGGTGATCTCTAATTAATATCATGATCATAGGAACTGTTATTAAACGCCTTTTATCTATTGATTAAGAATTTATTAATACCTTTACGTCGTCTCCCACACCTGGCTTAGGGAGAATTGCTCTAATACCCGCCTCTCCTGACTTGACTGGTGGATATTTATCGCGTGTGGGAGATTTTTTGTTTTGTTTTCAGTGTTGCTTTAAGGTAGCCAGTGACTCAAGATGGCGGACAAAATGGAGGCTAAGTTGTACTAATACTCAACCGTAACTGTTTATCATAATATTTGTGGTAGAGTCTCAATGCATTTTCGACACCATTTTCCTCCTTGTTTTGTTGCCGTGATGCATCTATATAAGAAGGTTATTGGAGTAGGTCTGTTAGCTCATCATACTAGTCAGTCCCGTCTACACCCAGCCCTTATCACTCATATATCTGTCCAACCTATATTTGAAGCTTCCCAGCGTGTTTGAGTTAATGATGGTGTTTGGTAACTTGTTCCACTCATCCACAACTCTGTTTCCAACCATTGTCGAACTATTACTACGTGTTCGCTTCTAGTTTGGTAGTTTAATTACCTTAGTTACCTTTATTTAACATCATCATCTATTTATACACTACGATCATACAACGCCCCTGACTCTACGTCTCTCAAGGGAATGTAAATTTACTTTTCTTAATCTGTCTCTATACTCAAGGTCCTGAACGCCCGGGGATAACTTGTCAGCCTCTTCTGAATGCTTTCTAGGGACAAAACCACGTAAGCTGTATATACAGTAGATCTAAGATAACATCGTTTGTCCTGTTACTAACGCTCTGAGACATGAACCCCAGCACAGCCCAGCACAGCACAGCACAGCACAGCACACACCAGTACATTACTTTGTTTGCCTTAATTCTATATGTAACCGCATTGCTATCTAGGTTTTAGGTACAAGTCCAGCTCTAGAAAAACAGCCTCCAAACCTTTGATAATTTGGGGGTATATTTACGACAACATTTTATCCCTGGTGTAAGTGTGGCAGCTTAAGGGAGCCAGCGGGGTGTATCTTGTCTCCTAATTCTCCCTAAAAAAAAAATTAACGTACGAACCTTTGAGAATGTGGTTGTTAGGTGTACAGTCTCAGTGCATTTCCGACACCATCTCGCCCCTTGTGTAAGTGCTATATCTTGTGTCTTAATTCTGTAGGAAAAAATAAATAAATTAACGTACGAACCTTTGAGACTGAGCGAGGCGGCCGGGTATCAGCGGACATGAAGCATACCCATCAACACGTACTTATCATGAAAGCCTTTTAAGCTATCGTCATTATCTGTGTGTGAGACTTATCTGGCAACACCGGCCGGTCGCCACCACCACCTGCTCCCTCCCTTCTACTTCCACAGTTTATTAGGGAAACGGCCCCAATCAAGGCGATAACAGATAAAAACGACAGACAGATTCAGTGTAACCGGAGTAGAGGTGTCAGCAACAAGGCTGCCAGCTCTGACGGCGGGGGAGGGGGGAGGGAGGGGGGGCCACCGTGTTCACTGATACTTACTGCATCTTGTTGCTGGCTCGGTGTGTTGTTTAACTTGTTCCCCGATGTACTGTTTTTCTACCCCTGGTTCAGCTACCAGCTGTAAGTGTTGTAAAAACTGTGTCCTCGGTGTTTCATCTTGACTAGATTCTTACTGTAGTACCTTGATGTACAGTGCAGTACAGTACACCCGACGAGTTACTACAAACACACAAGAATACACGATGTACACATATGACAGAAATTATACTACTGCAAATATATTTCATATAATAGTGTGTGTTTTATATATATATATATATATATATATATATATATATATATATATATATATATATATATTATATATAGTGCTCGGTAAGACACTACTCCTCAACACTCAGGAATGTAAACGCCCGTAGGAAGGTCTTGTTGAGGGCGTCTCAGAGGCCCGGGGGTGAGAAAATGAACAGCGGTTGATGATAAAACCATAACAAATAATAACCAGACACCTAACTTAACCTAACCATGACGTTATAATATTATTACTGCTCTTCAACAGCTAAGAACTCTCAGCGCGTAACAAGGTTAGCATTTACTGTAGTCTGTGGGTAGGTAGGGCGGGGGTTGGTAGGGCGAGAGGTGGGTGGGGTGGGTGGGCGGGGAGGGTAGGGCGGGGGTGGGTAGGGCAGTGGGTAGGGCGGGGTGGTAGGGAGGGGGTGACTAGGGAGGGGGTGGATGTCATAACTGTCAGGAGGACAACTCATGCCAGGACAGTTTGCTTGATATACTACCTGAGGTTCTGCAACATTACCGTGGACAGGTATAGACAGATGTGTTGGACGGACGGAGAGACGGTATGTTTATGTTATCGTGGACGGTGGCTGGTTTACGAGGGTGAAGTGGGCGGGGCGCAGCTAGGATAGTCCAGTGTGTGTGTGTGTGTGTGTGTGTGTGTGTGTTCGCTCTTCCTATTATACACATCAACAAACTGCACTCCACTTTGTTATGTATTTTCCCAACCTCCTTCTTCTCCTCCCCTCATCTTCCTCCCCCTCCTCCTTCACCCCTCATCTCCCTCCTCCTCCTTCTCCCCCTCCTCCTCTGACCTGTTGACCATCCATCCTATCTAACCACATTCACTTCCCAGACAAAAATCACAGAACACTTTTATCAATATCTCATCATCTACTCGAGGGTTAGGTTAGGTTAGGTTTGGTTAGGTTTGGTTAGGTTAGGTTACGTTACGTTAGGTTACGTTAGGTTAGGTTACGTTAGGTTACGTTAGGTTTGGTTACGTTAGGTTTGGTTAGGTTAGGTGATTGATTATTACGGTATTTACATTTTTTATCTAATTATTTCCCTATTTAGTCATAATTTTTAATGGGAAATATCGTTTACCAATTTAAGTCAATCATAAGACCCAAAGGTAGATTCCACATATGGTGTCTAGGGACTTTTGGTCATATGTGTACAGGTGTTCTATTTCATCTCAGGTGTAAACAATACCTCATCAATTCTTCCATGTCTTCTTTATATTTTTTCTCTGTCTCCTTTCTTTTGCTGTTCTTCTTATTCTTGTTCTTCTTGTGTTCTTGTTCTTCTTGTTCTTATTCTTGTTTTTCTTGTTCTTCTTGTTTTTGTTCTTGTACTTGTTCTTTTTGTGTTCTTGTTCTTCTTTTTGTGTTCCTGTTCTTCTTGTTCTTCTTGTGTTCTTGTTTTTCTTGTTCTTGTTTTGATTATTCTTGTTCTACTTGTTCTTGTTCTTCTTCTAACGAACCATATTCTGATATGCCCGTCCTTGTCTAATTAAGATAAAGATGATTTAAAACCTCAGCGTTTGTCAGAGTGCAAGATGATCAGGTAGTTGTGTGTGTGTGTGTGTGTGTGTGTGTGTGCATACTTGGGTGGCCGTGTGGGAGAGATTTTGTGTGTGTGTGTGTGTGTGTACTGCATGTAAATCTCTTTAGATAAGGAGGTATAACGCAGCAGGTGGCAGGTATAAGGGAGGTAGTGGCCAGGTATAAGTGGCCAGGTATAAGGGAGGTAGTGGCCAGGTATAAGGGAGGTAGTGGCCAGGTATAAGGGAGGTAGTGGCCAGGTATAAGGGAGGTAGTGGCCAGGTATAAGGGAGGTAGTGGCCAGGTATAGGGAGGTAGTGTGGCCAGGTATAGGGAGGTGGTGGCCGGGTATAGGGGTAGTGACCAGGTATAAAGGAGGTGGTGGCCAGGTATAGGGAGGTAGTGGCCAGGTATAAGGAGGTAGTGGCCAGGTATAAGGGAGGTAGTGGCCAGGTATAAGGGAGGTAGTGGCCAGGTATAAGGGAGGTAGTGGCCAGTTATCATCAGAGGGAGAACATAAGTCTCCACTTAGTCCTGCCAACCTCGATACTGCAACCCTCCCTCCCTCCCTCCCTCCCTCCTTCCTTCCTTCCCTCTCTCCCTCCCTCCCTCCTTCCATTTCTTCCACTCCTCCTCCATCCCTTCCTCCAGTCCTTCTATTCTCTCTACTCCTCATCCATCCCTTCACTCCCTATCCTCACCATTCATTCCTCCCTCCCTTCCTACCCCGATCCTTCCTTCCCTCCTTCCCTCCCTCCTTCCCTCCTTCCCTCAATCTTACCCCTCCTTGATATACCAAGAGGGAGAAGACGAAGGAAAGAGGATGTGGGAGGGAAGGAAAATAGGTTGGGGAGGTGAAGAGAGGAGGAGGAGGAGGAGGAGGGGAAAGAGAAGGAGGTAATATAACGGAGAGGAAGAGAGGGAATGTGATAAAGTTGGTTAGGAAGGAAGAGAGAGAGAGGAGGGTGTTTGTCGGAGTGTGATGGGGGTCAGGGAGGGAGGGAGGGAGGGTTGGGGAGAATATAGTGCTTGGCTCAAGTCCATGACATGTGTTACAGTAACTCAGACCTTATGAAGGGTGTACATTAGGACGAGATTAAGGAGGGTGAGCTGAAAAAATGTCTGCCCCGGTCGTTAAGGTCTGCAATCTGGGATATTATCTGCCTTTGATAACGTTAATATAATAGGCGATTCTCTTACTGTGGACACGATGCCGACGGCTGCTGTTGGTGATGCCGACGGCTGCTGTTGGTGCTGTGGTGATGGTGGTGTTGTGGTGATGTTGGTGTTGTGGTGATGTTGGTGATGTTGGTGTTGTGGTGATGTTGGTGTTGTGGTGATGTTGGTGATGTTGGTGTTGTGGTGATGTTGGTGTTGTGGTGATGGTGGTGTTGTGGTGATGTTGGTGCTGTTTGGTGATGGTGGTG